TATCTACCCTATTTAAAAAGCCATATTATCAATATAGCTCTTCTAAAAAGCATATCTCGTAGGAGATGCTCTTAGCACTGTAATGCCTTTTTTACTGTAAAAAAATGTAAAAAATATTTTTTATTTTTTTTATAATTTTAATATATTAATATAAAAAAAAATATCTAAAAATTTGAACCCAACGACAACGGCAACTGCGTCCTCTCATCGCCCGCCCGCCCTGCACAGCGTTACAGTATAGGCTGGTTTTCCTTCGGGCCTGGCCACTCTAGCCATTTTGTTCAGACTTACTGGTTACTGTAAGGCCCGAAACGCACATTGTTTTTGCGTCTTGACTTGGGGAACAGTCACTAACTCACGGCTGTTTTTTATTGAATTTTAACATGTTTTTTATTAAAATTTATTTTTTTAATATTTTAAAATTATTTTAATATGTTAATATTAAAAATAATTTGTTTTAAAAAAAATAATTACTGAAGCGACACTCTCGGTCTGTAATTCCGAGTGTGGATTTCTTTTAGCTATAGCGTAGATCTAGTAAGATGGGATCTCTCTTCTGCTATGAAAACTTGTATTGTTATTTATTAATAATTTGTTTGATTAACTAAAGAAATGACAGCCGTGTTCTTCAAAATCTGAGTAACATAAAATTTTGCAGTTGCAGGAGATTCTTGGGTTAAGTAGAGAAGATGGATTCCTCAACTGTTTTGTTTAACCAGCTCAAGGTAAGGTTTTGGATCTCGAATCAGTTAGATTTTTGTTTAGGTCCTTTGTGTTGATGGATTTGAACAACAGGCAGCAGAACCATTTTTCTTGCTAGCTGGACCCAATGTGATTGAATCTGAGGAGCACATTCTTAGAATGGCCAACCATCTCAAGACTATCTCAACCAAGTATGTTTCTTGTTTGTTTGTTAGTTAGTCAGTTACTTCTGAAAATTCGTAATTTTTTTAGTTTAATGAAGGAAATGCGTTGATTTCGTTTTCATTGGAAGGAAGCCGGTTGAAGAGAATGTGTTTGTGAGGTGTTAAATGAAGCTAATTGTGGAAGGCATTGCTTTTTATGTGTGTGTGTGTTTAAAGAAATTGAAGTGTGAATTGGTCCTTCTAGCTCCTTTGCCTGTTTGCGTTACTTGAATCAAGAAAACAAAAGAAGAAGATTGATGATTGAGATTCCATTGATTTTGTCTTTTTTCAATCTTGTAGAGTTGGGTTGCCACTTGTTTTTAAATCAAGCTTTGATAAAGCTAATAGAACATCCTCCAAATCCTTTCGAGGTCCAGGGATGAGCGAAGGGTTGAAGGTATCGATTCATGCTTTATGAAATGAGAAGATTGGAATATTGGAATAAGATATGGGTGTAAAGTTCATGCTTTTTATGTTAATTCATAACTGTTAAATCAAGACCAGCAGCATTTATGAAATATGAAATACATGTGAATAAGCTCACACATTCACAGGTAAGGACTCAGTTAAATGCTCATAAATTGTAGACATTGAGTTGGAACTCGGGATAGGATAGTGTTAGCATATATTCCCTTCATAGATCATGGTGATTTGCATAAGATCTTGGTATTATGGTCTCTGCCATTATTATTTGACATGACAACTCAAATCAGATGGAGGACAACAAGTAGTGCATGTTTGTATACATTTTCTAAGGTTATTCAATGGTTACCTCCTGATATATTGGCACCTGTATCAATTAATATCAAACTGCATGCACAGAGATTTCTTAACAAGTTTGTTCTCACATCTACTAGATTTTCTTGTTGGTGTCATGCTATGAGTAGACTTTTCAAGATGCTATATAATTTTAGGAAATTTCACATGCATGAATGGATAACTGGTTAATATCATATCTCTCTCTTATTTGGTGTAGATCCTTGAGAAGGTTAAAATAGCATATGACATCCCCATTGTTACTGATGTGCATGAAACAATTCAGGTAGGCTGCCATCCTATTCATAAAATTCTCAAGGTTTCCTCAGTTATTCACATCCTATTTATTATGGTTCATGGATGACTTCTTCTCTTTAATTTTTTGGAAGGTTATATTATATGCTCTAATGTGTTGAACGATTGTCTATTACATGGCTCTTCTAGACTTTCAGTTCCATTAGGTGGAGCATTACCTGAACTAAGTTAGTTCTATTCTAGTTTCAACTTGTTATGCAGATCCAATTATTCCGTTTTGCTATATCATTTGGATCCACAGCATACAAGATGTGACCGATCCTGTCCTTTATCTTGCCTTGGGAGTTGAGACCAGCTATACAAACCCAACACTGAGTCAACTTTAATTAATTAGATATAGAAATAAAAGTTTTGTATTATTGTGTTGCAAGAGGATATCATTTATATATCACTGTGATTGGTTAGTTATAACTTCCAAGTCTTTCTAATAACAGTGACCAAAATAATAGAATTTTGAAGGAAAAAAAAATGATTAAATTACTGGCTTGATGAACCTCATGGAGTTTTTTTTCAATTATGTTCCCTTGGAATGTTTCGTAAAGAATTTGCAGTTATCCTGATTTCTTGAATTGTGTAAATCCTTATGTCCTATTTTATCTCTTTTCTATTTATAGTCATTTGTCTCTGTTCAACCTTTTCTTCAGTGGCATCTTGCTACCAGTACAAAGTATTGAAATTGCAATTGGATTCCAAAGTTTCTCAAACAATTTGTAATCTTTTCTACTTGACCAGTGTGAACCAGTCAGCCAAGTTGCAGATATCATTCAGATTCCAGCATTTTTGTGTCGTCAGGTTAGGTTGCTACCTTATAGCTTCAAGCCTAATGCTTCCATGATGATTTAATTTTGAGTTTGAGAGAGGCGCTATGTGCCTTTTCCTTTCACTGTTTTTTTCAATTTCAGTTCACTTATTTTTTGGATTTTATAACAGACAGATCTTCTAGTTGCAGCTGCCAAGACTGGAAAAATTATCAATATTAAGAAAGGCCAATTCTGTGCTCCTTCTGTGAGTTCTCTCTTTTTCATGAAAAAGTATTCTTATTTGACATAAGATTTTAAACTAGAGGTATGCTTCTGTCTTATGTTTTTTCTCTAATTGATGATCGTACAATTAAAAACATGCAGGTCATGTCAAATTCTGCTGAGAAGGTAAGATTGGCAGGAAATCCAAATGTCATGGTTTGCGAGAGGGGAACTATGTTTGGCTATAGTAAGTCTCAAATGACCCATGCCATATGCCTGAAGGTGTTGTCTGTTTCTTATTATCATTCAATGGTGTAAAAGAGATTGATTAGGGGATTCTTGAAGTTCTGCAACTCTCTGTCTGAAATTAGTTTAAGAAGTCGCTTTAAATTGGCAAACCAGTAATGTAGGACAGCCTGGGTAATTAAAAATTATGGGCTGTTTTGCTAAGAAAGAATAGTGTGTTTTATTATCTGGATAGAAGTTCCATGAACCACTTTTCGTGAACTCCACTAGTTTAAAGAGCTTGGTTTAAACATGTCTGAATTTTGAAGTCTTTGATGAATAATAGTATGTGCTATCCAGTTTGATTTGATCCTACATTTGGGATTGGTTTGTAGATGATTTGATTGTTGATCCACGTAATTTGGAATGGATGAGGGAAGCTAAATGTCCTGTTGTAAGTCAATTGCTCTTCTATATTATTGTTTCATACCATTTGATGCTTCTCAAGTCCTTATCTGTTAAAGAATAATTCCATCAAGAGAGGTAGAAAGTACATAATTTATACAAAGTGTATCAAAGCAGAGGGTGAATGGCGACTTGCATTTATAAGGCCAACTAATAGCAGATATTCACCTTATTTTCATTCATATGGAGAGCCCTTCACATGAGTCTCCAAAACTTGGACTATTTCCATTTTTCACGCCTTGAACTTAATGTCTATGAGATAAGGAGAACTCATTGTATCTGATCAGGATTCTATTTTCTTTGCAAGAGCACAGCATCCTTTTGACTTCTTTAGATCTTGATCTTGAATTTAATCTTCCATTAAAATAAGAGAAGTTCTAAAAATGTTTCAATTTTTTCCAATCATGAATGATTAAACGTAATCCAGTTTTTAAGTTTATAGCATTGGCTTGCGTAATTTTTGTTCTTTAGTTTAGAAGTCACCAACTTTTATCTTTCATAAAACATGGTGTTTAAAGTGATTATAGAAATGATCTACAGCCGCTTTGAACATGATTCCCAGGATTAATCTACTTCAGATAGTTCTTTTTTGACTAATGTGCTTCTTATGCTTTGATTTACATGCTATAATCTGGAAGAGTTAACCTTTGGTTTAACTGTTTCAAAACAGGTAGCTGACATCACACATTCACTGCAACAGCCTGCTGGGAAAAAGGTGTGGCTGTCCTAAATTTTCGATTGTACAATTAGATAACGGTGAATAGATTCAGCCTTAGTAAAGAGTTAGTTAACCATTATTAGCGTGTGTTACATAATTTTCATGATAGAAGTTATGTGAGAAACCAATCTTTTAATAATATTGGCCTTTGTGCCTTGCATATTGATCTTTGATGCTATGGTTTTGTGCTGTCCTTCCTTCTGGTTGCTGTATTGCCTGGCCTTCATTTTTAAGTAAAGTTTAATGTGTTGCTATCTACATCTGCTTCTTGTAACTTCTCCATTATGAAATGGTTAAACTATACTCTGTCTACAGTTGGATGGTGGAGGTGTTGCTAGTGGAGGTCTTCGTGAATTGATACCATGCATTGCAAGAACAGCAGTGGCCGTTGGGGTGGATGGAATTTTCATGGAGGTATGATGATCTGTTGAAAATGATCAATTTATTATTGGAATGTCTCGGGATTATAATTCTTGTTGCTTGGTTTACCCCATGCACCCTTTTCTCAAGTTTGTGGGGATTCCCAGGTTCATAAGAAGGAAGGGATTAAAGTTAATTGCTCTGGTTAAGAACTCTTAGCTGGCCCAGAGACTTCTTGTAGTTGTGTCAGTGTTAGTATCCTTGATCATATACATACAATGGTATCTCAAAGCTTCTTTTTGGTGCTTAGGTGCATGATGATCCTTTAAATGCCCCAGTGGATGGTCCAACTCAATGGGTGAGTTTTACAAGCATGGTCCTTGACAAACACCATAGGTGTTTTTAATGAGATTCCATATACAGATATTTGTTTAACCAGGTGCCAGAAAACAGTTTTTTGTATTTTGGAAGTATAATCATCTAACATCTTTTGTTTTTCCCATGAAATTAGCCTCTACGCCATTTAGAGGAGCTGCTAGAAGAGCTTGTGGCAATAGCTGTAAGTTCTAGACCCATCTTGAATTTGCACATACAGTTTCCTTAATGCCTATTCACTGTAAGAAACTCATCTTCAGCAATGCTGCACACATTGTATACTTTCATCTCTAATTCCTGAGATGAGAGAACCCTGTTTGGGAGTATAATCTCATAGAACCCAAAGAATTTTTGTAATTTTACCTTCCCACCACTTCTTGGTATCTCTGTCATCATCTACCGATCTCTTTAACTCACTGTTTCCTTTTCCGTTCATTTAGCACTTTTTTGAATCAAGCATACTTGATTGGTAGGTTGTCCTTGGACTTGTTCAAAAGCCCGCTAGTTTGATTAATTTCACTTGCTGCTTTGGTCTCTTCCTTCCATCTCAAAGTGTTTCCGGATGCATCTTCTCTCTATGTTATAGCCCTCAAGTAGACATGTTTAGAACGTGCAAATTTCTTGCTTATATCTCAGCCTTTTCATTCCCGTTAAAGATAATCCCAACCCTTTATGGACTTGATTGCGGAATGATTTCAATTGTTGCAAGAAAATTCACATGGGCATTGGTATTGAATTATTTTCATTAAATCATCTTTGACCTGGATGCTCACTTTATTGTTCTGATGCTTGCTTTGTTGCTCTGACAGAAGGTGAGCAAGGGGAAGAAACAAATGACCATTGATCTCACACCATTTCGCTATTAGGGAATTGAAGACCTCTCTCAAGGAGTAACAAGGCAAAGTTATTGGGCTGTAAGATCCTCTTCCGTAGTTGAATAACTAGTTTTAAGAAACTTCCACTTGCGGATGCCAAAATCATGCCAGATGCATCCAGTTAGTGCTTTCTTAATAGCCATTGTTTCTCAGTTTCCACAGGTGCTAGATGACAAGCTTCACGTGTAACTATGAGGTGCATCCTTCGAATATTGGTATTTATTGTATTCATACTGCATCTCTTCACTAAAGTTAATATCGGAAGCTTCTCATGTTACTGTTTTCATACCTCATCTCCCCTCGTGAGAGAGGCCGTTTGCTCGTTCAGTGTTGCAGTCGGATTAGGATTTCTGAAGTAGGGTTGTCGCTTGTATCCCACCTGTTGAGTATGCATGCGCAAGACGTTGATGAACATGCATGCATGCCATTATATTTATCGTTTTATTTAAGCAAAAAAAAAAAAACTGAGATTAAATAAATATCTGGAAACAGAGTGTCCCGAGGGCTTGCAAATGCGAAGCGTGTAACGTGTGCGACAGAAACCCAAGTATCCTTATCCGAACCCATTTCAACAACCGACTTGCATGAGATAATTCCTTTTCCGTTTTGGATTAAACAAAAGGCTAGCATATAAACAGTTAGCCCGTCACCTCTCAGCCTCAGAACAGAGGCAAAGACAAACAGGCATTTTTAGCTAGCTATCTCCCAAGATGACGAGAAGAAAGATTGAAATAAAAAAAATAGAAAACGAAGATTACCGAAAAGTGACCTTTTCAAAGCGACGAGCTGGTCTTATAAAGAAGGCCAAATTTCTTTGCAGCGGGGCCAATACACAGATTGCTATAGTCTCCTACTCGTTGTCGGGTAGGCTCTTTACGTTCGGCAACCCTTCTGTGGATTCGGTCGTCGACCAATTTCTTGACAACTACACGACTGATAGCTGCCGCAGCAGCTCTAATGAATCTCCCCATGTTATCACACATGGGCCGTCGCCACCGTCTAGCGGGGTAGTAGATGGGAAAGAAGGGCGACCTTCGTGGTGGGCATTGCCAGTTGAGGATATGGATTTGGATATGGATGTGGATGGGCTTCGGCAATACAAGGCTTCTTTAGAAATTCTCAAAAGCAATGTGGCTAGCCGATTAAAAGAGATGGATGAGAGAGCATCCCTTACAAGAGATTTTGTAGGGTTTCTTGATGCTCGTTGATTTTCTTATGATTCTTTTTATAGTTACTGAAAAACACACAGGGTTTTTAGTTTTTCTTTTCTTTTCTTTTAAGGGTTCGCTGTTAGTGCAGGATGAGTTTTTTTTTTTCTATTTGAATATTTATATTTGTGAAATAATCAATCCAGGATCTTTATTAGTTTTATTATTGGATTTTTAATGTGATGGGCTTTGGTTGTATTTGTGCTTAATTTTATTTTTTTTATTCGAGTATATGAACTATTTTTTTTCTATTTAAATATTTGCACTCATAAATTTTGATCAACTAGCTTACTCTCATAAGTTTACATCGCAAATCATCTCCAATACAAGTGAGTTCGTGTTTTGGATTAACCATCATTTTGTCAATTTTTAACATTTTCTAGAAATTAAAAAAAATTAAAATAACAAAACTAGGAAATAAAGCGAGTTTATATTTTTCTTACTCGTTTTTTAGGATTTAATTCAATGTTTATTATATCTTTGTATGGTATTTAATTCGGGTGATTAATTTTAAATATTAAATATCCTTTAGAAATAAATTTAAAAGATAATATTCTGCAATAATTATGAGTTTTTTCTAAGTATTTTTCCATTTAATTGGGTTTTAAGCAGATCAGGCCCGTGCCCAATATTGTGTGCTCTTCTAAGAGAAAGCCTGGCTCGGGCTTCTTGGTGATGGAATCAATCGAACCAGATTTCCAATGTGGAGTCCTTTGATCGTGCTTTGTTTTTCTTTTTATTAGTCAAATCAAATTAACCCATGAAAAAAAATACCCAATAATCCACAAACACAATGATAAATTGCCATTCATTCATCTCTTCCCCTCTCTCATGCACACAGACAACATGGCGGCATGTTTTTCCCTCTACTACTACAACCACCAGAATCATATAAGCTGGGCGCCTTTGATGCATAAGAAAGGCAAATCCAATGTTTCGGTGAGTACCTAAAATTCTGTTTACAATTTTGCTTTTCCAGTTTCCTCTGTACAAATGATGGTATCGTGGAATTCTATTCTGGTCCTTATTTTCTTCTGCTCTGAACTAACCGAGTATTTTATTAAATGATTTTGTGTTTAAAATGAAGTTTATCGAAACAAAATGTTGGATTAAAAATAGAAAAAAGAAACTGTAGCTACCGCAGGTTTTCTTCGGGGGGTGGGGGGGGGGCTACGTGATTCTGGAAATATGTTAAAACTGATATTTTAGCTGAATATGGTTTCCGATTTCTAAAGCAAGCAGCAGTGTCTGCAGGCCAAGGCTTCTTGTCATTTAATTACTGATGGGGCTTGCTCTGATATGGAACTGGGGCTGGCCTTTGAATCCATTTTGCTTTGTCCTGGTAACAGTTCGATTTTTTGAATTTGATCTGAACTTTTGAAACCAAACCACCCCTAGAGAAAGATTAGCTGTTACAATTTTGATGAATTTTCTGACCTATGTGTGCGTGTATGTGTCTAACTTCTTCAAGAACTTCGGCTCAATTTCTTGATGGTTTATTTTTCTAATTCATGAGGAAGTATGCAGGCCTTTCCTGTTTATTCTAAGTTGCGGTTGAAATAAGTACAAATTTTCCAAAAAAGAAATCCCATCTACACTCAGAAAATCCTCAGTTTCGTGTTCTTTTAGGTTTTTCTAGTGTATGCTGCTTGAACCCAAAATCCCTGTCTTAGTGCCCCTCTGATTTTTTTAAGATTTTTTATTTATTTAATGAGCTGCCTGGGATCTTTCTGAACGCCTTCTCGAGTTTTGTTATGAATCAATAATTCTGATTTCATTTGACATTTGGTTTTTCCTGGTTTTTTTTATACTCTACAATCTTCATCTGCACGGTTGGGGGGGCTGATTTGCACTCATACAATATATTGTGCAGGAAAGGTTGAAGCGCCATACCAGAGGACATGCCAATCATGGCCGTCAAGCCTTGCGGTCTAGGACGTGTTGCTCTGCAGGAGTCACAGCCTCTCTTGATGTTGACTTCTCTCCATCACACGCAACCATTTCAGTGGAGCCTTTTAGCGTTCTCGAGGCTGTTAGTGTTAGGAATATCAAGGTAGATATACCGAAAACGTCAGAAACCTCAAATTTAATCCAGAGGTTGATGCTGGCAGATTTGGACCCTGCCACAGCTAAGTTAGCTATAGGTATCTTAGGGCCGTTCCTCTCAGCATTTTCCTTTCTATTTGTTTTGAGAATAGTAATGTCCTGGTACCCAAAGCTTCCTGTTGGGAAGTTTCCATATGTAATAGCTTATGCTCCCACAGAACCGCTTCTCATTCCAACCAGGAAGTTGATTCCACCACTTGGAGGAGTGGATGTGACTCCTGTGGTATGGTTTGGCTTATCAAGTTTCCTTAACGAAATATTGGTTGGTCCACAAGGGCTTCTAGTTCTTCTTTCTCAACAGATCAACTGATTTGCTTCCAAGCTGCACCAGGCATCAAATTGTATATTCAGTTTTGTAAAGGCTGAGCTTGTTTATTCATTCATTTAACCAACAAGAGTTGGTGCTTGTTGACAACAAATTTGTTTATTCATTCAGCCAACAAATACGGGTGCTTATTGATGACAAAATGTGTTTGAACTTGTGAATAGCTGCTTTGTGGTCATCAACACAATGGCTCTCCGGGTGCTGTACAGGTGCCTAGCAACTAATGGGACACCTTGTGCATATACATCCACACCAACAACCCAAACAGTAATGATACTATTCGGAGCTAAATTCAATTTGAGTTTGGGAACTGTTTGGATTTGATACCTTTTTAATGATGAATGAGTTCTAGATCAAAGGACCTGGGACAAGGAGAAAATAAGCACCACGACAGATAAGAAGTACAAAATTAGGTTTTGTTATTCTCATCATCAACCATTGTTTTGACATTTTATGGACCATTTCCAGGACACTAAAGTTGATTACAATTTGAATTGGTAAAGCATGCATGGATCATTGCCAACTGAAAACAAAAGCTTTCATAAGCTGCGTATGTGCAAAAGCAGCATCTTCAAATGTCTGCCACGAGAAAGTTTTCAGACAGCGACACCTGTAAGAAGAGAGATTCTTAGTTCTATACAGTTCAGTATTGTAAATGTAGACGGAAAGGGTGAGAGATCCTGTTAATTACCTTTTCACCGAGTTTGAATGGAGGAAGACCTTTGTAAGGGCATGTGCTACAACGAAAAGCATCCCCTAGTCCACACTGCGTGACATTCAATAAAAAAAGGCCAGATGAAGAAATATTTAGCCACAATACGGAAGACTTTAAAAGGCATGGCAGTTTTAATGTTTTCATGTGCTAGTCTGTTCATGAACACGATGCCTTGATACAATGTAAAATGCACCCTAAACATGACAGCTTTAAAACGAGGATGCAGCTTACTTTCCCGAAACATTGTTGCGGTGAAGCCCAAAAAAATCAGATTCGTCTAAGAACCCATGGATAAGAACATGTTGAGACAAATAGTTTAGCATATACAAATATACAATTTCATCCGCGCAAATGCACATCCAGAATTAGAAAACTTACACTGCCACATGCTGATTGAGGATTGTTCAGCTGATCCGTGGTGATTCCCAACTTCACTGTTTCCTCTGCCTCAGCTCTACCACAAGTGCAGTTCTTGCAAGCCTTCCTTGTGCTTCCAACTTCACAATCACCAACTTCACATGCAAATTTGGTTATTGGAGGCCCAAAAAAACCATAAAAATGCATAAAACCAACGTTCGGTGTCTTGTATCTTACCAAGTGGTGGCTGAGGTTTCTTCAAATCCTCCTCAGTCAAAAGGCTATCCTCGTCAATCAAATCCGAATCATCATCAATCTGAACCTTGACTGATGATTTTATGGATTTCTTCAGCGCAAAGGATGACCCAATATTCCAAGATGGCTTCTTGGCCTTGACCTAAAAATAAAGAAGGATTATAAATGCAACCAAGTAAATACTAATATGAATACTGGAAAGCAAATAATCTTTAGGACATAGTGAAAAGAATGATACAATTGAAACTTGCAAAGAAGAATATGTATTCTTGCCCTTTCACGTTAATGATCAAATTGTGAAGACTAACTCACCCCAAAAGAATGAATTGCATTGGAGAGTCCAACAGATTTTGGTTGTAGAGCTTCTACTTCTGAGAACCCAGCCAAAAGCAACTTGCGCTGAAGACCAGAAATTGCATGGAAAACACCAAAGTGAGAAGCTTAGTGACAAACTAAGCTTTATCAAGGAAAAATAAAAGCACTGACATTCACCTTGTCAGTTTCTCCTATAACAGATTGCTGAGAATTGTAAATCAGAATAGTTCCACAAGGCTTCAACACTCTAAAAATTTCCTTTACCAACAGATCACCAGGAAATTCAAGCGAACTGCAGATGGAAACCACAATATCCACAGAGGAAGGCTCCGCTGGCAGCCTACCTGTCATAAGTCATCAACATATATTAAACCAGGACACAACGTAGCATGCACAAATCTTACTTAATAGAGAACAAACAAGATGCACAAGGGTGGAGTTTGATGTCATGCAATATATTTGGTACTGATATGCGAGCCAGTGACTGCCAACTCTATAAATCATCCATGTTACCCCCACTGTGGCAAAGTGGATAAATTGACCTCCCAAAACACATTTTCTTTTTTCATTTCTCTCGCACTAAAAAACATACCCAATCAAAACTAACGTTCTTTAATAAATAATCTCCTCGTGAAAGTTTATGGAAGAATTCACGTGTAATACAGATACATGACATCCAAACAACAAAATCAAACCTGTCAAAATTTAAAAAAACAAAATAAGGAAAGAAAGAAAGTACTTAAAGATGATGCTTGAGTGATAACTTGAGGATCACACTGTTCAAACCCATCATTCGCGTCCCCCCTTGCAGCATTTACTACTCTGCTTGCTGAAATAAGAGTCTCGTCTGTTAAAGCCAGCACGGAACGCTGCAGCGTTCTCTTAGTATCCTACAAAACACCAATCACAGCATCAAGAATAATCTGCAAAAACGGTGTAGTAAATGAATTATCTTCAGTATAAACAAAAATATAAGAAAATTATGCTGAAGATCAAACAACAAAAATTTTGTATGTATTCGACATCAAAATTGAAAATTCAAAAAACAACTAGAATGGATCTACAATACCGACTAACAAGTTAACAATTCAAAATGAAAAATGAAAAATGAAAAAAAGAACAAGAAAAAGAAAGCTACAGGCATTATGATTTACCATGCTCTGATTCTTCAACAGCCTCCTCGAGAAACTTCAATAACCCTAACGATAGTATTTTTTTTATTTGCCGACTTTCTCTCGCGTTCTGTGTTTTATTTTGCTTTTTGGAAATATTGCGCTCGCGTGATTTAGCTGCGCTCCCTGCTGTTTTTATAGTGAAAAGGTGAGAGGGGTGTCGCAATCGGGCGTGACGCGTCCACATGACTGACAAGAGGAAGCAATGACGTGGACGTAATGCTAGCGTGAAACGCGAGTTGCTTTAAGGTGACGTAATGTTAGCGTGAAATGCCTGATGCTTTAAGGTATATAATGACGTAATGTTAGCGTGAAACGCGAGTTGCTCTGAGGTATGTGTCATACAAGAATGTTTGTTTGTATTTTTGAAAAAAAAAAAAAATTATTTTATTTTTATCTTAAATTAAGTTTTTGTATTTTTTTTTATATTTTGATATATTGATATTAAAATTAATTTTTAAAAAATAAAAAATTATTTTAATATATTTTAAAAAATACTTTAAAAAATAACCACTACTAGTATACTCTGCTGTTAAATATTCTTTATATTCTCTATTTACTAAGTGAGTAAACAATGCTGTCAATTTGCTTTTGAGACAGCATTTGTATTTTTTCTAGATATATTAATAATGGTGTATGGTGGCTGATTAAAAATAATATATAAATTGCAGCCTTATTATTTATACTTTTTTATACGTTGTGTAAATAAAAAATTTTATTTTTTTAATTATATTATATTTAAAAAAATAGTATTTAATATTATTTAATAACAATATATAAATTAGAAAAAAAATTATATTATGGCATAACATTTATAAAATTTAATTATAATTTCAATTTTATTTCTAATGATATTTTTATTGATTTTGTTACATGCTAAAAATATATGAAAATTATAGTTTTTATCGGATGAATTTCATACGTGATGAAATTATAATTAATTTAATGGAATAATAAAAAATATCTTATATAAAACATTATTTACTCCATGATACAATAACATTAGTTAAATCTACAATATTTAAATTAAAAACCTTCAATATATATATAACCTGAATTTTCACGACATTACTAATTAAACACGTTAAATTATTTTCTATTCAACTTCAATTTTAACCACAATGTAATCAAATATATATAAATATCAAACCAACATCAACAAAAAAAAAATATAAGATAATTTTTTTCAAACCACATCCACAAAAAACTACTACAACATCAAATACACATTAGGATCATGTTTGGCTACGTGATTGGGCCGGGTTTTTTTTTAATATTTTTTTTATTTCAAGGTGTTAATGTTAAAAATAAATTTAAAAAATATATTTTTAAATGTGTTTTCAAGTAAAAAAAACATTTTGAAAAGCAAACATGATTTTAACACCAAGCACTATCCAAGCTTTTTATCATTGATAAATTATCGATTGAAACACCACCCTTCATGTTATTTTTTTCTACAAATATTCTATTAAAAATTTCACAATTTTAACTTTTTTATTTTACTAGCTTTAAAAAAAATATATAACACACATTTATATATAAATAAATATTTTAATTTTAAAAAATAACTTTTTAGGGACATAATTATATTAAAAATCTAGTTTTTCACTTATCAAATTAATATGAAAAAATCAATTGCTCGAAGTAAATAATAAGTTATTTTGTATAATTTAATAATGTGTGTTGATTTATAATAAAAAGATAAAGATAAATTATTTTTTTATGAGTTGACTAAATTATTTAATAAAAGTGTAATGTTTATTGAAATGTACAAGAATAAGTTTTTTTTTACCAGTGAATGGGTTTTTTTAACATTATTAAATAAAATTAATATTTTTTTAAATATATATATATAATAATAATTAAAAATTCATAATATATAAAAATGAAAAATTGTCATATTAAGAAAATAAATTTAATGTTAAAGAGGATTGATTGAATGATAAAAAAAATAAAATAAAATGCATCTGTGTTGAAATTATTATCATGCATTCCAAACATACTAGATTTTAACACTTTAACATTGTAATGGTATAAAGTTATTTTATCATTAATAAACTAATATTTTACCAATATATTTTTATATATCTTTATAAAAAAATCATATTAAATATATATATATACACACCAGTACCAAGCATGCCCCAAAAGAAGTGTGGTGAGCTTAGTAATGTGTCAGGTCTAGGTACGGTGAATTTGTGCTAATCAGAATCATTTATGATTGGGCTTAATAATATACCAGGACTAAATATGATAGGTTTGATGCTGGGCAGACCTAAAAGAAGATTTGATCCCAACACCATTAATTCTATAAATTTTCACATGAAATATTGAAGGATTTATTTATCAATAATCAGGCTTGATTAAACGAGTCCATATTTTGTTAGCACCATCAAGTGCGTTGTGGTCTTTCATGATTCATCATGTTTTCATTTCTCACTTTGATAAAATAAGTGGAATATAACCCACCATACAACTAAAAATATTACCAAGATAAAATTATATTTTAGTCATTCATCATCACAAAAATAATAAAACTTATAAATTATAAATACACCATAAGATATTTGGAATAAAAATTCATGATTTTTAATTATTCATTGTATATATATTTCCAGAGCATATTCCTATAATATTATCATATTTTCTAGTTTAAAAAAAATATTTATTTAAATATTAAAGAATTATTCTATCAATCAAATGAGATATTTTACATGTACTAACTATAAATTATCTTTATTTATCAAATACCAAGTATAAACTATTATTTTATTTATAGAAAATATATAAAATTATTAAAATCAATTTAACAATGGACAGCCAATTTGAGAGTTGGATTTTTAAAATTTTATCTGTCATCAAGTATATCTGTAAATGATTTAACGAGAAAGTAATTTATAATTTAACCATGTTGTCTTTTAGCAATGAATATTTCTTTTACAATGATTTAAAATCTATTTTAAATGTGATTTTGAAGAGAGAAATAATTACCATTTAAAGTTTGTTAAAAAAATAATGCTTACAATAAAATGAAGTGAAAATAATAATCTCTATTTCTCATTTAAAACATTATAATTTCGAGAGTGATATACAATAAGGATGATACAGATTACAGACCTCTTTACAATTTATTTTGTCTTATATCTTACTAACCAAACATAATAAGTAGTTATTTATTTGTATTTACTAAGTACAATTTCTTACCTGTGTTTTATCTTGTCTCGTCCTTGTTGTTCTTTTTATCTCCATTATCTCGAGAAAGAAATTAAACATCATCTCTGGTAGTTTCCTGACACCTGCCAATATCATGCATCCATGTATTTAATATCTTAGAAATGTAAAATGCACATTTATTTATTTCAAGAACTTCCAGTTAAAAAATCATATGATACTGTGGTCATATTTTAAAATTAATATGCAAACTAGTCCAGACACCCACGTTAATCTAAAAAAAAGAACTTTCAGTTAAAAAATCATATGATACTGTGGTCATATTTTAAAATTAATAAAATTATACTATTCATTTTATAATAACATACACACGTATATAAAATGCACAATACGAATAAAAAATTTAACCACAACTCCATTAACTTTAACATCTAAAATAGCTAGATACCACATAAAATAACAATTAAAGATATCATATATATATATATATATATATAAAATAAATATTTTAAGACAAAAAAATTTAAAAAATTGATGGTTAGGGTATCAGGGTTTTGTTATGGTTGGACAAATACAAAAAAGAATAAAAATATTTCAATCGTTGTTATTTTTTCTCTCTCTTTTGCCGTCTCAGAGTATATGCTAAATTAATTTTATTTTGTTCTCACCAATCATTGCTAATAATTAAATTATTTCCTATTTCTTTAAATTAATATTTAATCTTTAAATTTATAAACACACCGAGAATTATCAATAACAATTTTTTAGGTACGAGTCCAGGGCAATAGAATCAAAATCCAAGCGCCTCTCTTTCTTCTAAACAATTACTCCTTAAACCTTTTTAGCTGTCTTCGACACAACAACCCTTCTCTCCCTCCTCTTATTTTTTTTTTAATTTTTTAATAATCTCAAATCTAATTATTAGACATGATTTCTTCTAAAGTCCAACTAATTATGGATATAGATTTGTATGTTCTTAATTTTATGGCTTTGCTTGGTTTTTTGCCTTTAATTTTTTTATTTCGTGTCTATTCTAGATTTGTTCAAGGATTAATGGTGGACTGGATAATAATAATAACAATAATAATAATAATTAAAGTGACATGTTTATTCTACAATCATGAAAATATTTTAATTTTTTCCAAATAGGTGTGAGGATACATCTCATTAAAAAAAAAAAATCTTAATTACCACACAAAATATTCTGAATATAATTGTCACAATTGAATCAAAATCAACCCATAACGAGTTATGAAATAATCTTTTAATAAATATATCTAACAAGCCTGATATATACGGTACACTTACAATCTAGAAGCCGGCTATCCGAAGACAATGGAGGCAGAAAACGAAATTAGAGAAATCGAAGGCGCAAACGAGAACGAATCTTCACCGAGCAACCCGAAGCCGACGCAAAAAACGGTTAGGACCAAAGTACCGGAGGTGGAGATCCATCTGTACAGACAAGGCAAGGGTCCGATTAACGTGTTCAAGTCGAGCTTGGGAGGGTGGGACCAGGACCAACTGGAGGTCCGAGAAATCCTCGAGAAATACGGGTTCAAGTCGATCTTCGCTTTCAATCCAGCGTCGGGTCGGGGTGCGCCGATCCGTTTTGGGAGGAATGGTAGGTCTTTACTTGGGTATAGAGATGGATCGATCATTCACGTTGACGGAGAACCAAGGGTAATTTTAGAACGTGATTTGGTTTTATTTTTATTTGATTTGATTTTGATCTTTCCAATTTCATTATGTTACAGCAATTATTTTTTTTTTCAATGTTTTGTTGCTTGCTTACAATTCTACTGCACCAAGCGATCGATGATAAATTGACATGTAGAATACTGGAAAACTGGATCAACCGTCATAAAAAAAATCTAAAAAATAGAGAAGAAAACATCAACCTCCATTTTCTTGTCATTTTATTTCACTAAT